CAAAACACATTGCTGCAATTTCTGCTTCCACTAAGATGGAGCAGTCCTTCCACAAAGTACAACTAAAAACCTGGATATACTATATAATAAAAGGCTAATATGCAAATCGACCGAACGGCAGAATGACTGGTCGTTATGACACTCACTGACCACCAGAGGACAGGCACGCAATGCAGGAGCTGCCCCCTGGTGGTCAGTGCGCTCCTACAGGGGAAGCGCTGCTCAGCCAGAAGCCGGGCTCATGGCTGGCGAGCACAGCGGCGCTGGTGAGAGCCTCTCCCACCTCCCCAGCAGCACTCAGGATTTCCAATTGCCGACAGGCCTAAACCGTCAGTCAGACATCCTCCGAGGACTCCCAGACTGCGAGAGGGCACAGGCCAAGCTGAGGGAACCCCCCCTCCTGAGTGCATGAATTTCATGCACCAGGCCTCTAGTTTTATATATATATGAAACAAACATAAGACTCCAGTGTTGGAGAGGAGAATGCTGATTGGCTAGGGGCCTCAGGACTGGAGAAATGACATGGCAGTGAGTCCTCTGGGCTTTCTTTTTGCATTATCCCAGATTAGCAGCTGGAGAAACAGGCAACCCCAAAATACCAATGGTACAGAGCCCCAAAAGAATCTGCTTTCTCTATCCAAAAGACCAAGAAAGGAGCAGCCTCCCAAGTCAGAAAACTTTAAGACAGTAACTGTCCTACTCCAGACAAACATGACAGAAAACATGGCAGCTGCATCCCTCCCACATGAGTAAAAACCAAGTGAAGGTCCTACACTTCCTTCCTTGCCAAGCTATAATGATGCACCCCAAGCCCCCAACGGGTGGTTTAAGAGAAGGCCACGTAGGAGCTGGGCCTTTCATCCCTACTCAGCAGGAATGAGCCCCCACCTGCCAGCGTCAGTGGAGAGTGAACCCTGGACGTCCACCCCAACTCGGCAGGAAGGAGGGGTCTTCCCCCCGCCCCACAAGGTAGTGTCAGAGGAGGCCTAGAGGAGTCGGAACTTTCACCGGCCCAGTGGTCACAAGGCCACTCCCCTCTTGGGTGTTGATGGAGAACACATAAAAGATCTATACTCCCACTTCCACCCACTTCTGATTGTTTTGATCTAACTGTTACTATAAAACTGCAGTAATCGAAACAGGGTGGTACTGGTACACAGATAACAGAACAGAACTGTGGGTCCAGAAATAAATGCCATGAACATCTACAGCCAATTGTTTCTAACATGGTGCCAAGTCATCCAAGGGGGAAAGAAGAGTCTTTTCAATGAACAGTGCAGGACGACTGCACTGGATGATCACAGGGAAAAGGAAGAGGCTGAAGGCTTACCTCACTCCATATACAAAACAGCTCTCCAACCCAGTATAAGAGCTAAAACTAAACCATTAAGAGAAAACATTGGGGCAAGACTTAATACCCTGGATTTAGCATTGCCTCCTTAGACGTGATACAGAAAAAGCTAAATTAGACTTCATAAAAATTAAAAACTTTTGTACATCGAAGGACATATCAAGAATGGGAAAAGACAACCTACAGAATGGAGTAAAATAATTGCAAACCATATAATCTGAGAAGGGTCTAGTATTTAGAATATATAAAGAAGTTCTACAATTCAACCACAAAAAAAACAGACAACCCCATTTAAAAATAAGCAAAGGCTGCTGGCTCAAAGCCCTCCCTGGGACTCAGGGGATGCATACGGGAGCGACGGGGAGAGGCAGAAGCAGCTGTGTTTCCTTTTTGAGATCACGACACTATCTGGTTCCTCCAGACACCTGCCACAACATAATGTCCTTGGCTAGCTGGCTTTCCCAGCCGCCGCCATGGGCAGCCTTCCCCCCAATCAGTGGGTGATATCTGGAGCCCTGTCCATCAAGAGAGCTGGGAGTTGGGATATTTTCTCACCCCAACAGTGAATGAACTGAGTACAGCTTTAGAACGTCAGCTTTCTGTTCAGGATCTGGGCTGGATGGGAGCAGCACTAGGCTTGGATATGAGAGTTCTCTGATCACTGGACTTGGATATGAGAGTTCTGTGATCTACCCATGGCAGCTTTCCAGCATCCAGGGCCATTTCAGGATCTTTCTGGGCCTCTAGTATTGTAACTTTTTATTGATTTCAGTAAGAAAAGGAGAGGGAGAGACAGAAACATCAATGATGAGAGAGAATCACTGATCGGCTGTCTCCTGACCCTACTGACTGGGGATCGAGCCTGCAACCAGCGCATGTGCCCTGACCAGGAATTGAACAGTGACTCCTGGTTCACAGGTTGACACTCGACCACTGAACCACACCAGCCGGGCATATATTTGTAGACATTTTAATTAAGCATTGATTAATTTCAAAATAAAATAATTAAAAGAAGCAAAGCATTTGAGTAGACATTTGTCCAAAGATATACTAATGGCCACAAGCACATGAAAAGATGGTCAACATCATTAATAACTAGAAATCCAAATCAAAACAACATGAGAGTCCAGCCAGTGTGGCTAAGTAGTAAGAGCGTCGGCCCATGCAGCAAAGGGTCCCAGTCAAGGGCATGTACCCAGGATGCAGGTTCAATCCTTGGCCCCAGTTGAGTCACATTCGGGAGGCAGCCAATCAATGTCTCTCTGTCTCTGTCTCTCTCTCCCTCCCTCCTTCCTTCCCACTCTCTCTAAAAATCAATGGAAAAAATATCCTCAGGTGAGGATGAACCAAAAACATAAAAACAAACAAAAACCACAATAAGTCCTAGCCGGTTTGATTCAGTGATTAGAGCATCGGCCCTTGGACTGAAGGGTGGAAGGTTCAATTCTAGTCAAGGGCTCGTACCTGGATTGCAGGTCAATCCCGGGCCCTGGTCAGGGCATGTGTGGGAGGCAACCAATCCCTCAGATCAGTATTTCTCTCACTCTGTCTCAGCCCCTCCCTTCCATTCTCTCTAAAATCAATGAGAGAAAATATCCTCTGGTGAGGATTAACAACAGAAAACACAAAACAAAACCACAATGAGATACCATTTCATACCCACTTAGGATGGCTATAATAAAAAATAAAAAACAGAAAATAAGTGTTGGTAATAATGTGGAGAAATTAGAACCCTTGTACATTGCTGGTGAGAATGGAAAAAAGTTTGGTGGTCCCTCAAAAATGTAAATAGAGGTACCATGACCTAGCATTTCCAATCCTAGGCATACATCCACAAGAAATGAAAACATGTGTCAATGTAGAAACTTACAAACAAATGTTCACAGCTACTCCAAACAGCCGCAGAAACAACCCCAATGTCCATCAGCAATGAACAGATCAAGTACAGCCCATCCATACAACAGAGTATAATTCAGCCATAAAAAGAATGAAATACCAACACACAGATATCTGGCCCTCGAAAACATTATGCTAAGTGAAAGAAACCAAACACAAAAGGCCATATAATGTGTGCTTCCATTTCTATGAAATATCCAGAACAAGCAAATCCAGAGACAGAAGCAGGTTATGGCTGCCAGGGCTGGGGGGAGGGGATGGAGAGTGATTACATGGTGAGTACAGGGTATTCTGGAGTGAGGTGGTCATTGCAAAACCTTGTGAATGCACTGGATGCCAGTGAACTATATACTTAAAAATGGTTAATTGTATGTTATGTGATTTTTACCTTAATTTTTTTAAAGTCTATACATCAGCCCTGGCCGGCTTGGCTCAGTGGATAGAGCGTCGGCCTGCGGACTGAAAGGTCCCAGGTTCGGTTCCAGTCAAGGGCATGTACCTTGGTTGTGGGCACATCCCCAGTAGGAGGTGTGCAAGAGGCAGCTGATCGATGTTTCTTTCTCATTGATGTTTCTAACTCTCTATCCCTCTCCCCTCTTCTAAGAAATCAATAAAATATCTTAAAAAAAAAAAAGTCTATACATCACAGAAAAATAAATTACTAAATTTTAATTAATTCAGCCTTTTCACAAATGTTTGAAAAGCTGTTTGGAATGTTTATATTCCAAAGTGAGGCAGTTTACTGTGGCTTTCTCATGGACGATGCGAGGCCTGTGACGCAGCTTCTTGAAGGAAGCGTGTGCGGCACAGCCCTGGCTGCACAGCCCGGGCTGCACGGGGCAGCTCTAAGAACGCGGCACACCATGCTCGTCACAAGTGCAACCTAAGTCACAGTCTAACTGCCCTTCCTCATCTACAACAGAAAACCACTGCTCATAACCCTCCTAAGTCAACAGCTCAGTACGTGCAAGTTCTCCACCCTTCAACATTAACAGTCCACGGGGCCAGGAGGGAGGTACCGATGCTTTCCTGCATCCCACAGGACTCAACAATGATCCAGCGAGCAAAGGTGTTCAATTGTGGAAAATAAGTTTAAAAGAGATTTTTTAGGAAAAAATATTTTATTCCTTCCTACATTTGATTTTGTTCTTTCCCTCTCCAACAGAGTGGCTTTTCCAGAAAACATTGGTATATGAGACCCTCTTAGCCCAAATACTACCCTGCGTACTGTATTACTGACTCATCAGTTACTCGGGGCTACATGTGACTCTCAGAACTGCCCCATTTGGATGCCTCAGGGTGTTGTCGTTTTGTAAAATGTCACCTTTTAACACATACCAATAGTGGCCACTGGGCTGGATACAACTCTGTTAATAAATTACTGAGTTCAAGGCAGCAAACAACTACAAAGAATATTTGCTAATATTATAAATGCCAGAGGGGAAGATCAACAACAAGCAGCTGCCAGTCTGGGAGAGAGGGAAGTGCTAGGTTGGGATTCCCCAGACCTGGATGACTTTGGTAAAATAAATATGACTGGTGGTCACAGATTGGGGTTGAAAAAGAAAGAAAAACTAATCATCATCACTTAATAAATGAAGTTTGCAAACAATCTGTTAAACTGCCAGTCCATGAAATAAAAATAAGGGACACCAGTGAACTACTGGGGTTGAAACCAGAACACCGGGGATCTGATGGAGGGCTGATCCCTGGGTGTGGATGGAGGAGTGCTCAGTCGTGAGCTCCCACCTACCTCTTGGCTGAGGCTGGAGACTTGGCTACAATCACTGCATTCCTGTAATCCGGGATCTGTGACAGAGAGGCCAGGGATTACTGCCATGACTCCATAAGGCTATGCACACCAACACTCAACAGTCAATGGAAAGGAACGGTGCAGCGCTAGCCTGTGTTTCAGTGGTTAGATCATGGGCCCGAGCATGGAAAGGTCATGGGTTCAATTCCCAGGTCGAGGTACATACTGGAGGCAACCAGTCCAGTCCATGCGTCTCTCCCACATAGATGTCTCTCTCTCCCTCCCCTCCTTCTACTCTCTCTGAAAAAGCAGTGAAAAAAAATATTCTCAGGTGAGGATTAACAAACAAAAAAGGAACAGTGCATCGGACTCAAAAATGAATTTTGGTCATTTGAAAATTTTCCAAGAAGATAAAAGTCCAAAGCAAATTTCTCCTTTGGAAAACGAAGAAACACCTACCTAGCAAAATACTATTTTTCATTTGTGTGTGTGTATTTTCTCAGGAAAAAATATTATTAAGAAATAAGCCTCACAGACCTCTTTGAAGAAAAAACTCCGGCTAATTGGTGATTAGCTCACGTCTATGTGCCAGCAAATACTGATAATATGGTATAAAGACATTTTTATAGTCAGTCTCAGGAAGTTGTCATTTCATATTGCCAGGATGATATCCATCCAATATGAACCCAAGGGACTGTACTGTAATTGTCAAGTTCCAAATTAGTGCATCCAAACAAAGGACTATTTACCATATTTTAGTCATATAGTGAAGAAATCAATTGGTTAAAGACAATCAGTCCAGTGCTGTTTTATAAGGACACTAGAGGCCTGATGCACGAAATTCATGCAAGAGTAGGCCTGCCTTCCTTCCCCCGGCTGCCAGCACCGGCTTCCCTGGGGCACCCAGGACCCAGGCTTCCCTCAGCTGCCAGTAGGCACCAGAGACCCGGGCTTCCCTCGCAGCGTCCAGAAGGTTGTCTGGAAGGATGTCTGGAAGGACGTCAGTCTAATTAACATATTACACTTTTATTATTATAGAAGATTAAGAGCCCTTACAAAAACAACTAAAATATCAGTGTGCTCTGGAGTCAATAAAGTTTAACACTTGAAGTGATCTATGCTAGTGAGAATATATTAAAGATATACCTATTATCAACTTCTGAGAGTTTAGAAGGCAGAATTATTTTTAAGCTGAGCAGTAGTTTACTTTATATAAACAGAGAGGAAGGGACAGGGAGATAGAAACATCAATAATGAGAGAGAATCACTGATTGGCTGGGGATCAAGTCCACAACCCAGGCATGTGCCCTGATGGGGAATCAAACCATGACCTCCTGGTTCATAGGCTAATGCTCAATCACTAAGCCACACCAGCCGGGCTCTTTTAATTTATTTATTTTTATTGGGAAGGGAGGGAGGAAGAGAGAGACAGGGAGGGAGTGGGAGGGGGAGGGAAGGGGGGAGAGAGAAAAAGAGACAGTGATCAACTGCCTCCCCATGCCACCTACTGGGGATCAAGCCCACAACCTGGACATGTGTCCTGAATGGGAATTGAAGGAGAAACCTTTTGGTGCACAGGATGACACTCAACAACTGAGTCACACTGGCCAGAACACAGTATTTATTTCTGACTTCATCTTGGCAATATTTTATGTTCTTAAAATTTAATCACTTCATTAAGTTATATACCAGAAATTTCATTCAAATAAATCCCCACAGCTTTTCTCACAATTATGCCAGTTCAATAAATTTTAATATAAGCACTTAAAATAATCACTAGCACCTTGTACAATTCTTAGCACATGGGAAGCACTAAGTAATAAATGCTTAGTAAACAAACAAACAACTGATTAATTCTGAAGAAGGCTCTATTATAGATATATCCAGCATAACCACATGGATCTTATGTCCTTCAGGAAGGCCTAATTTATCTAACACTGTCAGTGAGTAAGGTAGCAAAAAAAATATTTAAATTTAGGCACTTTTCTTATTTTTGCTAGAAATCTTTCTAAACTAGTTTATGTACTTCCTTGCCTTATCAAACATGATCAAATCCAACCGAGAGGAAATAACCAAGGAAACAGTAAAGAAAGGACTTGTCAATAAAAATAGGTCTATTTTCTCCACAAAAGTTAAAGCAGAAAAACATATTTATAAAGAAAAAACAAGCTGCTATGAAAAAGAAATCCAGGTGGAAGTGATTATGGTCCAAAAAAAACCCAGTCACTGAGCTACAGACACAACTGAATAACAAACCTGGGAGATCAGGCCACAGAATTTTCCCACAATGAGGGATATAAGAACACAAACTTGAAGAAAAAGAGTTAAACAATATAGAGACTATACATAACAGTTTCCCAAAGAATTTTTAAAAAAAGGATGAAATATTTAAATTATAAAGAAAAGGATTCCCAAAGAATGAAAGGGACCCACTGAATATCTAGAGAAATCGGTGGGAAAAAAGATCTACCCCAGACATACCTGCTGAAATTCCAAAATCACGGCAAGAAAATAAAACACTATTTTATTTTATTTTATTTTATTTTTTAAATACATTTTTATTGATTTCAGAGAGGAAGGGAGAGGGAGAGAGAGAGAGAAGCATCAATGACCAGAGAGAATCATTGATGGGCTGCCTCCTGCACACCCCCTACTAGGGATTGAGCCCGCAACCTGGGCATGTGCCCTCACTAAGAATTGAACAATGACCTCCTTGGTTCATAGGTCGACACTCAAGCGCTGAGCCACACCGGCCAGGAGAAAACACTATTTTAGATGGAGAAAATTCTGTCCCTTCCCCGCCCCCCAGAAAAAGCCTCCCCCATGATAAGATGCTCAACCATACTAGATACCAGGGGAGTAAAAAATTCAAGGAAGGTTGTTTTGTCCATTAAATTAGCAAAATTAAGGCCCAGGGAAACAGGTACTATCATAGCACTGCTACTGGAAGTATAAATTAATACAGCCTCTTCATATAATTGCAATTTTTACAATATCTATTAAATACTAAGCTTTCAGAAAATTGTAATTTTTGCAGTATCTACTTAAAAAATTTTAAATGTAGACTAGTGGCCTGGTACACAAATTCATGCTCATTGAAAGGAAATTAATTAGAAGAAATATTTTAATATCACTCTTAGCCCTTTCTCTATAATAGAAGTGTCAACCAAATTCACAATCGACAAGGACAGATGGAAACACAAACACGCATGTGATTGGCACCAGCGAGAGCTTTATATGTATCACACATGCGCAAGTCAACTTAGCCTTTTGCAGATATAGAACAAACTTGCTTAATTAGACCTGCTTTCTGATGTAGCTAAACTTTTTCCAGCCCAGTGAAGCACAACTTCTCTTCCAGGTAATTATCAGCAACACAGCAGTAAATATCAGCACGAAGCAGATTATTGTAGATCACGCAGGGAGAACAAAGGGTAAAATATGTAACTGCAGCCGTGTTGGACTACATTCTACGCAGTGAGAAAACCTGAAATCATTTTCAAGGTCCACCATTTCTTACTTCTTTTCAGTTGGGTCAAGTTCCTAAGCTTTCTAAATCTCCATTTTTCCAGCTAATGAAAAGAAAATAGAATTCTACTGAGTCTATCTACCTACTCCAGGACTTCTGTGAGGATCACATGAGGAGAGGCATGGGAAAACACTTCACAGACATTTGGTTAAAGCGTAAACTGTTTCCACCTGGCTATAAAGCAAGCCATGTTCCTGGGCTGAAGAAAATGCAAGGAAGCTAGTCGCTAGGGAGAGGAAGCCGGGCATTGCTACTTGATGTCATTACCTGGACGGAGGGAAGGACACTTAGCATATTAGCCTTTTATATAGATAGAATGTGATAACAGCAGCACAGTAAGTCTTTTTCAGTAGTCAAAATGGATGAACTGTGTCCTCACTTGCTTGGGCATCCTCCCATGCACTGAAAAGTTGCTAGTTTGATTCCTGTCAGGGCACATGCCCAGGCTGCAGGCTTGATCAATGTTTCACTCTCACATCAATATTTCTTTCTCTCTCTCTCTCTGTCCCTCTCTCCCCCCATCCCTTTCTCTCTCTGTAAAATCAATAAACTATTCTTAAAAAAAAAAAAAGATAAACTGTGACACAATATGGCTGAATCTTAATAATGAAACATGAAGTGAAAAATTCCCAAAAGATTACACAGTTTGATTCTTTTTGATAAAGTTTAAAAATATACTTTTTGTGTTTTAAATAACAAATACTGTATATATCTCTATATATGGACGAGATAAAACTATATAATAAGGAAATTGGGAGAAAGATGAATCAAGATTCAGGATGATGGTTTCCTCAGGTGGGGGAGGCAGGGAGTGGACCAGAGAAGGACCTCATGAGATGATTCTAAGTTGTTATGATGATTTTAATTTACTTGCTGGATGGTAGTGTCATGGATGGTGACTACTGTAACTGGACAGAAAGAGAAGGTAGAAAGATGGATACATAAAAGAGGGCCTGGACCACACATGGACAATGATGAGAGTGAGTTATCATAATCATGTGTAGTCCAATCCTAAGTACCTGAGGTCCAAAAGAAGAAAAAGCAATCTTAAGAACTTTGCAAAAGAAATATGTTAAAGATTAAGAATTTTAAAACATGGTGAGTTACATTTCTAAAGTAAACAGTACTTTAAGCAGAATATATCAAGTTTTAATCCTTTATGGACAACCCAAGGACATGGAAATGTCTTTCAACTTTAAAAAGAACATTAAAATAAAATAGTTTGAGCTAGCTTACCTCTTCTTGAATATACTGTAATAAGAAGGGAGAAGCTCTTAAATTATCAACAGGAATATTGAAGAAGCCCTGAATTTCCTTTTGGTGTAAATCCATAGTAATAAGATGAGTCAGACCTTTGAAAATAAAGCAGACACAAGCACAGAACTAGTTTATGTGTTGAACTGCACTGTATGAAATTAGTACTATATAAAATAAGTTGCACTGTATGAAATAAGTACAATATAAAATAGGATACTATATGTGATAAATTACGATTAAAAATTGCTCTCATCAAAACAAATTCAGCATCTTTATATCAGATATTTTAGTATGAGATTGGGAGATAACAGGATAAATAAAAACTGGTCTGTCCCTGGTTTCTGGCACCCAACTCCTAACCCCTGTGAGTTGCTAAGTGAAAAGAGCTAGGAGCCTCTGTTGTTCTGATGAGGTGACCCTGGGTGGGCCCCTGGCTGGCTCCTGGCTGGGGCGCTGGTCACCGGAAAGACCAGCCAGGATTAGAAACTTGGGATTTTCAGCCCCGCCCCCACATCTCCAGAGAGGGGAGAGGAGTTAGAAATGGAGTTAATGATTGATTATGCCTATGGGGAAGCTCCATGAAATCCCAATATCATAGGTAGCGGAGACTTTCCAAGTTGGTGAACAGGTGGAGGCGCTGGGCAGAGTGGCAAACCCTGAGGGCATCGAAGCTCCATGCCCCTTAGTCCCACATACCCTGCCCTACACACCTTTTCCATCTGTATGGTCATCTGTATCCTTAACTTTTTATAATAAGTTGGTAAACAGTAAGTAAACTGCTTTCTTAAATTCCCTGAGCTGCTCTAACAAATTAATGGAATCTGAGAGAAGATGGGGGAAACCTCAGTTTTATAGCCAATTGGTGTGAAGCACAGGTAACAACCTCAACTAGCAACTGGCATCTGCAAGGGGTGGGCCAGTTTTGTGAGGCTGAGCCCTTAATCTGTGGGATTAGACAGTATCTCCAGGTAGATAATGTCAGAATTTAGTTAAATTGTAGGCTCCTAGCTGATGTCATGGCGAATTGCTAGGTTTAGGGAAAAACTACACAGTTAGTGACCAAAAGTGTCAGAAGCGAAGTGTTCCGTGTGAGCAGGAAAGGAGTCACACAAGAGGAAAAGAATCAGAGAACTGGGTTTTTCCCTACTCAAGAGGGAAAGACCGTACATTTTTTTTTATTTCAGAGAGGAAGGGAGAGGGAGAGAGAGATAGAAACATCAATGATAAGAGAGAATCATCGGTCAGCTGCCTCCTGAACACCCCCTATTGGGAACGAGCCAGCAACCTGGGCATGTGCCCTGATGGGAAATGAACCTTCACCTTCTGGTTCTTGGTCGACACGCAACCACTGAGCCACCGCAGCAGAGTTCAATATAATTTTTAAACAAAGAATTTAGGAAAAAATAAATTGTTCTCGTTACCTTTGTGTTTTGGGGACTTGGAAACAGCAAAGAATTTTCTCATCAATTAGTTAACTTTCAAAGCTGTATCAGCCCTGGCCAGTGTAGCTAGTGGCTGGGCACTGTCCCGTGCACTGAAAGGTTGCTGGTTCGACTCCCTGTGGAGGCATAAGCCTGGGTTGTAGGCTGGGTTCCCGGGAGGGGCAGTGATTGATGTTTCTCACATCGATGTGTGTGTTTTTCTCTCTCCCTCTCCCTTCTCTAACAAAACAAAACAAAAAAATCATAAAAAAACCTTTAAAAATAAATGAAATTAAAACTATCACTTTTTTTACTCTGTTTAGCATTCCAATATAGTCTTAAAAATGCTTTACAATTTCTAAGGTAAAAATAAAACTCTCAGGATCCCAATTAATTATCAAATATCTGCCATTCTTACCAGCTTTACACATCATTGAAGCCAGCAATTTGGAAACAATGGAGCCTCTTTTTCTCATCTTGCACTGCTTGCTGTAAGGGAAGTAGGGGATCACACCAATAATGCTTTTGGCACAAGAGGTCTTACACGCATATACCATGATCAGGAGCTCCATGATGGTGGTGTTCACATCCCTGTAACCCAAAAGACAGGTCCCAGCAAGGAACGTAAGACAGAGGATAATATCTTCCTGTCCCAACCAAGTATCAGCAATGTGCTCTCCATGCCGCTACCAAGGCTTAAGGCTCAAGGGAGATAGAAATAAACCAATAACTTCCTCTCTCCTCCACCAGCTCCCCCCACATGCCCTCTCAGCCAATGATCCTACTTCCTTTTTCACTGAGGAAAGAGCTGCCAGGGGCTCCCACCACCATGTGCATTTATACCCGAGAAGTCCGCCTGCCTTCAGCCATCAGTGAGAGACGAATTTTCCACACCACAGTTACTCTAAAATCAGCCCTCCAAATTACAATAATCCCCACCCTCTCTTGCCTATACCAGCAATTCTCTCTTCTGCCTCCGTCATCAGTTTGTTACTACACTCACAAGCTCATGCCATCAGCCTGTCCTGTAAACACTATTGTTTTTTCCATTAAAAACAAGGACTCATGACCACGTTCCCCTCTACCCCATTCCTTACTGCCCTGTGCATTAGGTCTCAAGAGTTGTCGACACTCGCTATCTCATTCATCTACTCTCATTCTCTCCCAAACATATTCCAATCCAAGTCATCAATGACCTCCACATGGCTAGTAAATCACCACGTCAATGCTGTCCTTCTCTCGCCTGACCCGCCAGCGGCATCACACACAGCTGCTCCCCCCTCTCCCTGCTACTCTGGACTCACTCGGCTTCTGGACTCCCTGTTCTCCTCCTACACTACCTGGTTTCTTTTGCTGATTTCTCTTCTCCTTAACTTCTGACCCAAATGCTCATTCATTTGTCCTCTTCTCCTACTCTCTCTCCTCATCCTTCGGGCTTTTCATCCAATTTCACAGCTTTATAAATACTGAAGACTCTCAAATGTATAGGCCCAGTCCAAGCTTCTCAACTCCAACTGCTACTTGACGATTCCACTTGAATGTCTGTTAAGACATCTCAAAACTTAACATACCCCAAACGAAACTGCTCTTTGCCCCCAAAGCCTGCTTCATCATAAAATCCTTTGCGAACTCAATTGATGGCAACATTATTCCTCTAATTTACACAGGACAAAAGCCTCAGTGGCATCCTTAACTGCTCCCCTATCCAGAAAGCACCCCACCACTCCACTGCTGCCCTGGGCCTGCCACTCTCCCTCCTCAGCGGGGACTCTGACAGCCGGCCACCACAGGTCTCCTCCCCCACAGTCCCTCTGCAGTCCATTCTCCACAGAATACATCTAGGCATGACAATGAGTCAGGTCATGCACCACTCTGCTCGAGACCCAGAAAGGCTTCCATTGTGCCCACGTCCCTATCATGGCTCCCTGGCCCCTTCATGCTGTGCTCCTCACCCACTTCTCTGCTGTCCACTCCTACTCCATGCCCCTCTCAGTCTGGCCGCACTCCACAACTTGTCAATGCTGATTCCCACTGACGGCCTTCACCTTCTAAGTGCACCCGGCTCTCCTCCCCAGCTAGCCACCTAATTTACTTCCTCACCTTCTTCCAGTTCTTGCCAAATGTCAATTTTTAAAAATATATTTTTATTGATTTCAGAGAGGAAGGGGAAGGAAGAGAGACAGAAACATCAATGATGAGAGAGAATCATCAATCGCTGCCTCCTCTACACCCCCCTGGGGATCGAGCCTGAAACCCAGACATGTGCCCTGACCTCGAATCAAAGCATGATCTCCTAGTTCATAGGGCAACGCTCAACCACTGAACCACACTGGCTGGGCAAATGTCAATTTTTAATAAGGCCTACCCTGCAAGCCCTTTCTATACCCTCACCACCATGACTCCCAATTCCGTGCCATGCTATTTTGGCGTTTTTCCCCATAGCACTCATCGACTTCTGACAAAATAAATAAAATCTACTTACTTATTATGTAACTTGCAAGTCGTAGAATATACAGGGTGAGGCAAAAGTAGGTCTACAGTTGTGCGTACATGAAACAGAGCTTATCCACTAGTTACTGTGTTATTGTCCATAGGAACAACTGTAAACCTACTTTTGCCTCACCCTGTATACTCCATGAGAATGAGGATCTTTACCTGTTTTAGTCTTAATGCATCTCACCTGTAACAGTGACAAGCATCTTCAATAAATATTTGTTAAAAAGTAACGAGTAGAAACATATCCTTTGGGTGAGCAGGTGTTCTGCTAATATCTAACAACAAGCCTGACATCTGCAGTTAAAGTGGACTTTTAGAAGAGTGTTCTACGTGAAAGGGTAAGAGTAGAGAAATCAACAGTGAGTGTAAAGTTACAACGAGGTTCCCAAACTATGCTCCCAGGAGCACCATTTTTCTGTGAGCTGGTACAAAGCTTTCCATCACTAAACTTAAATAATGAACTTGTTTGAAAAGTTAACACACAGAATTTTCTTAATTTAAGAACGTTCTAGTCTGTACTAAAATAAAGGATAAGCTGTATCTGACAATACAAATCTCAACGTTAACTATCTCACAGGACTTTATAAAGAACATGATGTCCAGCTTTCTGCAACCTGGGCAAGAGTAAGAAGAGCTGAATTAACACAAGCCTACCGCACAGTTCAGAACAATGCAAAATGAGACAGAGAGAAAATGAAGGAGATGGCTGTGGCTAGAGGACCAAGAAACTGATAAAAGGCAGGAAGAGAGTAAGTGTTAAAAATAAGTAAAAGAAAATAAACAGGACTTGAATTCGAGAATTACAGGAGTCACCCTTCTGAAGTCCTGAATTCTAAGTCCAATTTAGCCTTCAGTGCCTCTTGGGAAACATAGCCAATCTCTGTGCATTTATACAAGTCGACTCACACTTGTCTCTGGGTAGATAAAAGTACTGAAAACAGCCAGGAGCCAGAGCAACATAAACTGTTCTGTGCTCTGCATTTCCCCACCCGCCGCTGGAGGGTGAGGAGGTTCTATTATCCTTCAGAGCCTTTACCCTAGGGCTGGAGAACCTTTTCCTGCCCAGGGCCATTTGGATATTTATAACATCATTTGCTTAATATAAATGTATGTTGCTATGAACAAAGCTCCTAGATTTATTGAATTTTGAGTACCACCTGCAGGTGCCTTGGCAGGGCCAGACCGAATGATTTTACGGGTCTTATATGGCCCGAGGGACAGACAGTCCCCACCCCTGCTCTACTCCACTGCAGTAGCCCCACGGCCCCCATCCTCAGTGTCTCTTTCTGTGGTTTGTTACCCTCAGTCAACCATGGTAGGAAAATACTAAATGGAAAATTCCAGGAATAAACAATTGATGAGTTTTAAATTGTGTGCCATTTTGCATTGCTGTCCAGCTCCCTCCCACCTGGGACATTAATTATCCCATATGCTGCATATGACATCTGCCCGGTAGTCGCTCAGTAAGCTGTCTTGGTTATCAAATCAGTTACCAGAGACAGAGAGAGATACCACATTCCCATAATTTTATTATAGTACTAGAGGCCTGGTGCATGACATTTGTGCACTCAGGGGGGGTCCCTCAGTCCAGCCTGCGCCCTCTCCCAGTCTGGGAGCCTCGGGGGATGTCAGACTGCTGCAGAGGTAGGAGAGGCTCCCGCCACCGCCACTGTACTCACCAGCCGTGAGCCTGGCATCTGGCTGAGCAACGCTCCCCCTGTGGAAGCCCACTGCCCACCAGGAGGCAACTCCTGCATTGAGCATCTGCCCTCTGGTGGTCAATGTGCATCATAGTGACCATTCTGCTGTCCAGTCGATTTACATATTAGCCTTTTATTATATAGGACTAGAGGCCTGGTGCACAAAAATTTGTGCACTCAGGGGGGAGGAGGGTCCCTCAGCCTGGGCTGTGCTCTCTCGCAGTCTGGGACCCCTCGGGAGATAACGACCTGCTGGCTTAGGCCTGCTCCCGGGTGGCAGAGGACAGGCCCAATCCCTAGGTGCAGCCCCTGGTCGGGCTCAGAGCAGGGCCAATTGGGGAGTTGGGGCGCCGCCCCATCATGCACAGAGCAGGGCAGATTGGGAGGTTGTGATGCCACCCTCAGTCACACTCAGGGTAGGGTCAATTGGGGGGTTGGGGCACCGCCCCCTGTCACACTCAAGGCAGGGTCGATGGGGAGGTTGCGGCGCCACCCCCTGTCACGCACAGAGCAGGGCCAATCAGGGGGTTGGGGCGCTGCCCCCGTCACACACAGAGCAGGGCCCATCAGGGGGTTCGGGCACCGCCCTCTATCACCCACAGAGCAGGGCCGATCAGGGGGTTGGGGCGCCGCCACTCTCACACTCAGGGCAGGGCCGATGGGGAGGTTATGGCTCTACCCCATCACACACAGAGCAGGGCCCGTGGGGGGGAGAGGGGGGTTGGGGAGCTCCCCCCTATCAGGCACACAGCAGGGCTGCTCAGGGGGTTGGGGCCCCGCCCCCTGTCACACACAGAGCCGCAGGGCAATCAGGGGGTTCGGGCGCTGCCCCCTGTCATGCTGATCCCGGTGCCGGGAGGCATATTACCCTTTTACTATATAGGGTAGAGGCCTGGTGCATGGGTGGGGCCGGCTGGTTTGCCCTGAAGGGTGTCCTGGATCAGGGTGGGGGTCCCCACTGGGGTGCCTGGCCAGTCTGGGTGAGGGGCTAAGGGCTGTTTTCAGGCTGGGAGTGACTGAAGTTCCCAACCGCTCCTTTTTTTCTTTTTTTTTTTATTCTGGGCCAGCTTTACCTTGAGGCTTGGCTCCAGCTCTTAGGCCTCTGCGCTGAAAGTAGGTTTCTGGCCTTTGCTTACAATGTTGTGAATCTGCTGGCTGAAGTCCGGCGGTATTTGTTACAATGTTTCTTAAACTGCCTGCTCAGAGGCCTGCAGTCGCAGGCGGGGAATGTTGGTTTCCTCCAACGATCCTCAGTCACTGAGGCAAGCAAGCCTCATGTTAGTTTCAAGCTGCCTGGCTACCAGCCGCTATCTTGGCTGACAGTTAATTTGCGTATCTCGCTGATTAGCCAATGAAAAGGGTAGCGGTCGTACGCCAATTACCATGTTTCTCTTTTATTAGTGTAGATGATTATAATTGCTCTATTGTATTATTGTTGTTAATATCTTACTGTACCTAATTTATAAACTAAACTTTATCACAGATATGTATGTATGCATAGGAAGAACAGAGCATATATAGGACTCAGTTTTAGGCATCCACTGGGGGTCTTGGAATGTACCCGCTGGATAACTGTGGGACTACTGTACTTGGTTACACATAAAGGCAGCAGTTAAGTCAGAAAAATAAGCGGAGTAAAATACCAGTTTTAAAATTATCTTAATTTTTCCTGTCTAACCGACTCTTATTCTGAACATTCACGCCCAAACAGAAACCCAGAAAGCAACAATGCTTCTGTTGGGTTAGTACTTACTTTGAAACAGTTTGAATGATGAAAACATCTTTTCCCCTCACGGACTCTTGAATTTGTACTCTTGTTTCTAGAAAGAAAAGGAAAAAAAGAGGGGAGGGGTAAAGAAGGTATATAATTTATGTTTTTGAAAATACACAAAAAATTTCAACATTTTCCAATGTTACAAAATATGGAAATTAAAACTGTTATAGAAGAGATTAGTTTTAGATGCTACAAAACCGTAATAAGCATACTGCCATTAGCTACACTTTTTAAACATAATTACATTTCTGACTTGAAACCAGTCAACTTACCCTCCCACTTCTTGTGTATAAGCAGAAAGTGCTGTACCACTCTGAGCACAGTATCTTTATAGGAAACTAGAGGCCCAGTGCAATAAATTCGTGCACTCGGATGGGGGTTCTCTCAGCCTGGCCTGCGCCCTCTCACAGTCTGGGAGCCCGCAGGGGATGTCCGACTAATGGCTGAATCCACAGTGAGCAGGCCTAAGCCATCAGTCGGACATCCTTAGGGCTGCTGCAGAGGTGGGAGAGGTTCCCGCCACCAGCACTGCACTCGCCAGCTGTGAGCCCAGCTTCTGGATGAGCAGCGCTCCCACTGTGGGAGTACACTGACCACCAGGGGGCAGCGCATGGGTTGAGCATCTGCCCCCTGGTGGTCCATGCACATCATAGCGACTGGTTGTTCTGCTGTTCAGTCGATTTGCATTTTAGCCTTTTATTATATAGGATTATATACTCATTCACTTAACCACAACAAGGAAGAACTTACTAGGAACAAAATGTTATAATAATAACAATAAATAAAGTCCAATACTCTACTTTCAAAAAATTTGTGATCAGCCAGAAGAAAACAATTAGACAAACCCAGAACGGAACAAAACAGCCTCTTCAAAAAGTCAATGTCATAGGAAGAAAAAAGGAAAGGTGAGGAATTGATGTAGACTAGAAGAAACTAAAGAGATATTAAAAACACAGTGCTTAAAAAAAATAAAAAAAGAAATAAAAACACAGTGTTTGAACCATGAATCCCAGTTTGAAAAATAAAACAAAACACAGCGAGAAAAGGCTCTTTAGGTCAAGCAGGGAATCTTGAAAATAGACTAGACTTTAGATGACTAGAGATAAAGTCCTTACTCTTCGCAGATGCATGCCCAAGTACAGAGGTTAAGTGTCTTGATGTCTGCAACTTACTTCTACACATTCATATTCACATAGCAAAATGTGAAATGTGAATCTAGGTGGTAGAATCTAGGTGCTATTCTTTCAAATTTTTTATGTTTGAACATTTTCATTTAAAATGTTGGGAAAAAACAGAATACATTTTAAAACGGAGCGTGGTACCATAGGAAAAAAATGAGCTTTAGAGCCAGAGAAACCTGGAACCAAATACTGCCCCTGCTACTTCCGAGCCTTCCTACCTAACATCATTCCTGAACTCAGTTCTTCAAAACCTAGTAATAGGAAGGAGTCCATAAGTGCTATTCCCACTTGCCTTCCCAACAAACACCAAGTATTCTCTCTCCCCTCTTTCGTGAACCTGGAGGGTGGGCCAACCTCCTCCTGAGTCTTCCACCACTAGCTCTCCCCTGGACCCTCCCTTCCAAACTAGACAAAGGACATCCTTCCCTTTAGCAGCATTATCTTCTCCAAATTTTCCCTGCATATTTTCTTCAATTACACTTTTTACCTATTGAAGCCACATGAGGCAACTTGGAAGAGTGGAAAGAGGAGGCAGTAATGAAGAAATAAATGGGGAAGAGAAAATTTGTGCCTTTTCATCAACGTCTGTTTTAAGTTCCATAATATGTAAGTATTTGACCAAATACTACAGTGGAAAAGGAGAGGGAACTAATATTTACTGAGTACCTGCACTATGCAAAGAGCTGTGTTCGGCACACAATTATCCCATTTAGTCCTCAAACACTCCTAATCACTTGCAGTTTAGAAAGGTTATATAAATTGCCAAGGATAAGCTGTCTGACTCTCAAGCCCATGCAAGCTGCCCATAGCCCCTGCTAGAATACAGAAAATAGATGCTTTTTACAACTTGAGATGTTTATGCAATAGCGTAAATCAATTAGCAAAAAGCATTTCTTTTTGTTGTTATTATTAATCCTCACCCAAGGATATTTTTCCACTGATTTTTAGAGCAAGTGGAAGGGTGGGGGTGGGGGGGGGATAGAGAGAGGAAAACATCAATATGAGAGAGACACATCGATTGGTTGCCTCCTGCACGCATCCCCATCAGGGCGGGAACTGAACCTGCATCACAGGTACATGACCTTGACCAGGGCATTGAATCCTGGCCAGGGCAGCAAAAAGCATTTCTTAACAGGATTTCATGAAGTCTAACTGATGACAGCTTACATGGAGGTAAAGAATAACAACCAATTAGTATGTGGCCACACAGGATTTACTCATCCTGCCTAAGGTGACATAAATTTAACCAACAACTGAAATAATGTTTCCATTCACTTGACCAGTCAGCTCACATATCTATGCAGTTTTTATTAAAATGAGGTCTAAGAAGTGGCATTCAGGCCCTCAGATGTGACTTGCTCCAGGGTTCTACATCTAGTTGGTGTTAGTAGGAGCTAAAACACCACTCTCGCCCACCTTGCCTACATGACTTCCTGCTCATGGAACTAACTGGGCACTAAGTCTAATTGTTATAATAGTGGAGGATGAAGGACTGAGGCAGTATGTCATATTCTGTAAAAAGGTCAATGTTACGCATGTCAAAGATAGCTCACCTCGGTTAGGTTCCTGGTAAACCTGCACTTTGCCCATTTCCACCCCCAGCCGCCTAGAGAAGAGAAAGGGAGGAAAAGCTGAAAAGGTAATAGAATAGACTCAACATCTTTACTATCTAAGGATGATTCATAAATTAATAAAAATAAAACAGAGGTATTCTCATTATAAAATTTAAACTTAATATTAAACTATACTGTCACTCCCATTACCTAACCCCTCACCCTCCACCCCATGCCTACCCAGGTGACGTAGTTCTTTTCTGCCTGCCTCCCTGACCATTTCCTCGTGCTCTCTACACTCCCCAAATTCCCGAGATACACCAACTCCTGCTGCTCACTACTGGGCTCTGAATCTGCTGCTCCTCTGCCTGCTGGGCTCTGCCCCAGACCTTCATCCCGTGACTCATTCAGGTTCTCAATTCACGTATCATCCCCTCCGTTTACAAGGCACCTGAGCACCCAAGCAAAAGCAGAACAGCCTTCCCATCACTCCTTTCACTGTGTGTTTCCATAGCATTTATCACCACCTAAAATTATCATGTTTATTTTGCTGACTTGCTTCTTGTCTGGACCCCTACTAAATGTAAGGGAGGATTTTGACTGGCTGTTCAGTTAAGCCCCAATATCAATACCTAAAATAACTAAAATTATGTTGAACTATAATCTATAAACTATTTTTGTACAGTATCCACTTCACTGTTCTTTATACTCAAATATTCTATATGAAGCCCTAACTATCCCTGGCGCCCACAAGGCACTCAATCAATGTCTGCTGAATGAATGTACAGGGTGTTATGATAGTTTATAAAAAGGTTAGCCCTAATATATATACAGATGACATGCAGATTATCTGCTATCAAGTTTAACCATCAGTGCTCATCTGATTATAAAATGAAACCATCACATAATACAAATTTTAATGGTATGATTATAACTTACTCAGCAATTTTCTTTGAAAGCTCCATACATGATGAATTAGAATTTGCTGAAAACAGCACCAGGCCTCCTTTGGTTATGTTCATCTTGGTTTCTAATTCAGTTGGCGCCACACAAAACATCAAAACCTTCTTGGTTTTCCAATTCTCAGAGCCTAAAAGGATATAAAATATATCAACTGCCATATGACATTAAACACACCTGAATGGATTTTCTTAATAACAAAATGACTTCAGCTGAAGAAAATTAGTTTTCATCATAATGAAGTCTTTTATGTTAAATATTTGTGGACAAATAAAAAGACCATTTAGATTTTAGGGTTCTAGATTTATGAAAATATGTTACCACATGGTTGAATTAGTTTTCATGACCACTGGGAATAAATGATAAACTTACAAGAAAGGTGGAGCTGAAGAGCTCAGTGTTTTACTGTTTGCTGCTTAAAGTCAATTATGGACAACCTCCTTTTATTCTCTGACAACAAAATTCCTCCTGGATTAACACATAGAAAAATGGCAGAGCCATTAGCAAGGACATGGACTGATTGATCCTTAAACAATAAGCAAGTGACATCTATGCCTAGCTTACCTGTGTTATCTGCTCACCCTAAAACCTCCCCCGGCCTTGCAGCTGCCTCAGATGCCTACGTCAGGTCTAAAACTGACCCTGTTATCTGCATTTTCCTCTAGCACAGTGGTTCTCTACCTTCTGGCCCTTTAAATACAGTTCCTCATGTTGTGACCCAACCATAAAATTACTTTCGTTGCTACTTCATAACCGTAATGTTGCTACTGTTATGAATCGTAATGTAAATATCTGATATGCAGGATGGTCTTGGGCGACCCCTGTGAAAGGTCGTTCGACCGCCAAAGGGGTCGCGACCCACAGGTTGAGAACCACTGCTCTAGCAGAACACAAGGTTGACCATGTAACAACTTTGCAGGGAAGTGAAGTGACCTTGCAAATGACAGGCAATGTGCCCAAACAGAAGGTCATGGAGCTGAGGTTCTAACCCATTGCCATTAGAGTTCCCTTCTACCTTCACTCTCTGGGCTGAGTACATGCAACAGCCACACTCTAGTAGGCCATGGGGGATGGGGACACCTTCCCAGCATGCCCACTGCAGTCTGCAGTTGTTTGTTTACTTGGGATGGCTCTGGGAAGGCTGGTGGAGATTATGAAAGGGCTGAAGCCACACAGATCTTATGCTTAAACTTGAATTACACAAGTAATATACAAACACATTCTCCTTGTAAAAAAACACACAGAAATAGCCCTAGCCTGTTGCTCTGTGGTTAGAGCATTGGCCTGCGGACCAAAGGGTGAAGGGCTTGATTCTGGTTAAAGGCAGTACCTCCGTTGCCCAATCCTGGTAGGGGCGGTACGGGAGGCCATCAATCGATGTGTTTCTCTAATGTCGGAAGTTTCCCTCTCTCTCTCCCACTCCCTTTAGAAATCAATGGAAAAAATATCCTCCGGTGAGGATTAAAAATATAAATACAAACAGAAGTATGACAGTGAAGGCTACAGTCACCAGCCCCAATCCCAGGTTCCTTCCCACCCACCTCCCCAGTTCTTCTTAGTGTGGTATGGACACCATCAGGCCTTTTTCACACATTCACAAACGTGACCCCCATAAAATATATGTGTAAAAAATACATTTCTAACATAAAAAGGTATTGTACAAATCTACCTATAATTTGCTTTTACATTAAACAATAAAATCTGACAATCCAGGTTAGAAAATAGTCTTTTAACTACTGCTAGTATTCTATGGTGCAGATATGCCAAATTTTGCTGGTTACCATCCTGAACAGGCCTCCTGGTACCCATGCGCATGCCTTTGCAGTAACTGCAAGCAGGGAACCACACAGTAATGGGCGAGTGCAAATGATGGTCCCACACACACTGCCCTCTTAAGGGATTCCAAATGGGAAATATGGGGCATTACAATGAATTCACCTAAAGCCTCCAGATTACAAAAAGAAACATATGCACAACTGACCAAAGCCCTAAAGAGACCAAGGTGGACCACCGGTGTCTGCCATGGAAAACAGCTTTGGGCTCTCGGGTTCTTGCTTCTAAGATGACCAAGAAAAGAAGGAACAATGGTTATGCCAAAAATAGCCATAGCCTTGTGCAGCTTACTCACTGCACCAACTGCACCTGATGCGTGCCCAAGGGCAAGGCCATTAAGAAGTTTGTCATTCAGCTGGGCAGGCATGGCTCGACCTATGAACCAAGAAGTCGCAATTTGATTCCTGGTTGAGCAGGATGTGAGCTCCATCCCAAGTAGGGGGTGTTAGCCAATTAATGATTCCCTCTCATCACTGGTGTTTCTATCTCTCTCTTCTTCTCCCTTCCTCTCTGAAATCAATAAAAATATATTCTTTTAAAAAAAGGGAAGAAAATCGCTGTGAAGCAGGATCAGCAAACCACAGGCCATATCAGGTCCCTCCAAAAATTATTTCTGTAAAAAAACTGTAACAGAATACAGCCACACTCGATGTTTACAAATTGTCTATGGATACAATGGTAGCGTTGAATATAGGCTAAAATATTTATTATCTGGCCCTCTACAGTAAAAGTTTGCTTACCCTTGCTTAATGGCATAGTGTAGGGCAGAGTGGCTGTAATAAAGGAAAGAAAGAAATATTTAATGACCAACAGTCAAGAGTTGGAAGAGATCTTGGGTATGTTCTACCACCACCTCTCAACCAATATATGTCTGTTCTGTGTTTAGGAACAGAGGGTACAGGTCTGGAAAAGGAAACTACAACAAAACTCATTCTCCTGTAGGTGTAAATACAGGCTTTGGGGTCAAATGTATGTTTGCATCTTGGCTACTACTTCCCCTTAACTCACTGTGCTTTGCATAAGTGACTTAGCCTTTCTTAGCCTCAGTTCCCTCATCTACACAACTGTGAATACTGACCTCACTGGATAACTGTAAAACTCATTCCTGTACAGCACTTACAGTGCCCCGCACATATGATATGCTTGGTAAATGGAAGCTACCTATGAATCAACTTACAATATTTTGGTTACCTACAAAACAAGTACAGTAATAGGCATGAAGTGGCCATCTTTTTACATTCCCCCAACCTTCAAATATGAAGCTTCTTAAAGTATAACAGCATTTTTAAGAGGACTTGGAACACTTAGAACAAAAGTATCGGAGCGATAGGAAGAGATCTGAGAGGTGGTTCAGCCCAATTACAGGACTCCTGCCAAAGAGCCACACACAGATGCTTGACCAGCCCCTAGAGCCGATGCCCACATGCTGAGCAGCCCGTCCATGCCCAATTCTTCCTTTCAACACACCAAGACTCCCCTCTGCAGCCCCCGCACTGGTCCTTGTCCTTGAAAATTTACAGGAAGCATCACATTTCTTTGCCACAGGACAGTCCACACCATCTCTCAGGATGGCTCTCTTCTCTGGGTATTCCCTTCTCCAAAGTATTTCCTTACCCGAGCCTTGCCTTATCTGTGATGGTTTAAATGCCCTTCATTACTCTGACTGTGGTCTCTGAGGTTGCAGTCTTCAGATACGAAGTTTCCATATCAAAACCTAACCTAATCCACCCTCAAAATGGCACAGGCAGGGAGTCCAACTGGAAATGGTGACCAATAGTCATTTTCTGTGACTATTCATTTCATCTGTTCAAAAATAAGGGCTGAAGCTAGAAATTCAAGTAGCTCTGTACCAAGCTTCTAAAAACAGGGAGTTTTTCAAATTTTCCTTAAAAACATGACAATCACCAGAATGAGGCTAGCAAAAGGTTCACTAAATTGGCAAATTGGCTTTAGTATGAAAGGGAGAGGAAAGAAAACACTCCCAGACTTCCGGTTAAGATGGCAACATAGGAAAACTCTGTGCTTGCCTCCTCCCACAACCACATCAGAATTACAAATGAATTATAGAACCATCACTGAGAGCCACCTGGAGATGAACTGAACAGAATTCCTGTAACTGAGGACAGACAGAAGCTACGTTGAGATGGTAGAAGTGGGGGGGAGATACAGAATGGGCAGGTCCCAAACCCACAATGTGGCGATTAAGAATTCGGAGGGCTGCCCAGCTGGTGTGGCTTAGAGGTTGAGAGCCGACCTATGAACCAAGAGGTCATGGCTCGAATCCCAGTCAGGGTACATGTCAGGGTTGCAGGCTTGATCCCCAGGAGGGGTCATGCAGGAGACAGCCAATCAATGACTCTCTCTCATCATTGATGTTTCTGTCTCTCCTTCTCTCTTCCTCTCTGAAATCAATAAAAAATACATTTAAAAACAATAATTCAGAGGGCTATGTTGGCTGTGAAGGTGCCCCCCTTAGGACCAAGGGTCCCAGACCCACACTGGGCTCCCCAAACTGGGCATCAGTGCTGATAAGAGGAGTTGCCAGAACATCTGGCTGTAAAAACTAGTGTGGGGATTGCATCTGAGAAAGACAAAGGGCTGCTAGAGACCAAGGCACATTTTTGTTGCTGTTAATCCTTACTGGTGTGTATTTTTCCATTGATTTTTAGAAAGAGTAGAAGTGAGGGGGAGAGACATCTATGTGAGAGAGAGACACCGATTGTTTGCCTCCCGTAAGCGCCCTGACCAGGAACTGGCTGGGGATAGAGCCTTGAACTGAAGTATGTGCCCTTGCCCAAAATCAAACCCGCAACCTTTCAGTCTGTGGGCTGACACTCTAACCATTGAGCCAAACTGGCTAGGGCAAAATACTTCTCTTAAAGGGAGTGCACCCAGACTCACTCATGCACAAACCCACTCTAAGCTTCAGTGCAAAGGCAGTAGCTTGAAAAGTTCCAGGGACATGGGAGCAACTAAATTCACTAACTTCAAGGCCGGGGCTGGAGGGGCAGCTCTCAACTGGGATGAAAGTGCTGGCAGGCACCATTGTTCCTTTCTGGAATTCTCCCACAACAGAGCCAGCAGGTGCAGGCTGTCAATTAACCAGGCTAACACCGTTCCCCCACCCCTAGTGATTCCACGAGACCCCAGCAGACCCAAATCACCAGCCCAGCCCAACCTCTTCCATAGCTCCTCCACACAAGCGGTCTGCCTCAGCTCCCGCTGCAGACTTTCCCAAAATCATTGAAAGATCCACAAACCCCAAACAAGCAGCAACCAAACTTGACGTGCCTTCCAGCACTTACTTATGCAGCCCTAAGGCCAGCAATACTCATATCCGAAAAAATAGACTTTAAAATGAAGGCCATCACAAGAGAAAACAAAGGTCAGTCACTGCATAATACTAAAGGGATCGATCCAACGAGAGGATATAACACTGGTAAACATATATGCACCCAATATAGGAGCAACTAAATATATTTTTTAAAAAAACAACTTCTAGAGGGCTTTAACGGAGAGATCGACAACAATGCAGTCACAGTAGGGGACTTTAACACCCCTTTGACTTCACTGGATAGATCTTCCAGACAAAAACTTAACAAGGAAACAGAGACTCTAAAGGACACACTGGATCAGATGGATTTAATTGACATTTATAGAACATTTCACCCCAAAGCTGCAGAATATACGTTCTTCTCAAGTGCACATGGATCATTCACAAAGATAGACCACATGTTAGGACACAAAACAAGTCTCTACAAGTTCAAGAAGACTGAAATCATATCAAGCATCTTCTTATATCACATAGAATGAAATTAAAAATCAACTACAGTAAAAACATTCAAACACATGGATGCTAAATAGCATGTTATTAAACAACTAGAGGCCCGGTGCACGAAATTCATGCGGGGGGGGGGGGGGCGCGGCGGGGTGGGGAGTGAGAAGTCCCTCAGCCGGACCTGCATCCTCTCGCAGTCTGGGAGCACTAGGGGAATGTCCAACTGCTGGCTTAGGCCCACTCTTTAGTGCTGCCACGGTGATGGGAGAGTCTCCTGCCACTGCCACTGCGCTTACCAGCCATGAGCCCAGATTCAGGCTGAACGGCGCTCCCCCTGTGGGAGTGCACTGACTAACAGGGGGCAGCTCCTGCATAGACAGTCTGCCCCTGGTGGTCAGTGCGCATCATAGTGACCGGTTGTTCCACTGTTTGGTCGATTTGCATATTAGCCTTTTATTATATAGGATGAATGGGTTACCAATGAGATCAAGAAAGAAATCAAAAACTTCTGGGAAACAAATGAAAATGAACACACAACAACCCAAAATCTCTGGGAAACAGCAAAAGCAGTCCTGAGAGGGAAGGTCATAGCCTACAGCTATACCTCAAAAAAAAAACAACAAGAAAAATCAATAATAAACTATTTAACCCTACAACTTCAAGAACTTTTTTTTTTTTTAAATATATTTTATTGATTTTCCACAGAGAGGAAGGGAGAGAGACAGAGAGCTAGAAACATCGATGAGAGAGAAACATCGATCAGCCGCCTCCCGCACATCCCCCACTGGGGATATGCCCGCAACCCAGGCACATGCCCTTGACCGGAATCGAACCTGGGACCCTTCAGTCCGCCGGCCGACGCTCCATCCACTGAGCCAAACCGGCTTCGGCAAACTTCAAGAACTTGAAAGAGAACAAGAAGAGCCAAGATTAAGTAGAAGGAAGGAAATAATAAAGATTAGAACAGAAATAAATAACATAGAGACTAAAAAAACAATACAAAAAAAAATCAATGAAACCAAGACCTGGTTCTTTGAAAGGATAAACAAAATTGATAAACTGTTAGCCAGACTCATCAAGAAACAAAGAGAGAGGACCCAAATAAATAAAATCTGTAAAGAAAGTGGAGAAGTAACCACTGACACCACAGAAATACAAAGGACTGTAAGAAAATACTATGAACAATTATATGCCAACAAGCTGGACAATGTGGATGAAATGGACAAATTCCTAGAAAAATACAATCTCCCAAAACTGAATCAGGAGGAATCAGAAAAACCTGAATAGGCCAACAACAACCAATGAAATAGAAGCAGTAATCAAAAAAAAATCCCCCAAACAAAAGCCCAGGTCTGGATGGCTTCACAAGCGAGTTTTACCAAACATTTAAAGAAGAACTAACACGTATACTCCTCAAACTATTTCAGAAAATCCAAGAGGAAGGAA